TCCTTTTCCTTGATAAATGGGTGACAGTTCTCTCTCACCAATCATTTTTTAACATTTTGATGCATGTCTATGATCCCGCTGGAGGAACAGAAAAGTTTACTGGCCCTCAATTTTCAGATGATGAATGGAACACTCTAAATGTGCGATTTCTGTATGAGGTATAGTTCATTTTAAGCAATTCTAGTAAATGGGTGTCACTGATTAGGACAAATAGTCTACTTGTGCAATAGCACAAATGGTATGTCTCATTCTTCTGGCCTCCTTTGAGACAGAAAAGAAAGGGGACAACAATGACCCTGATAAACCTGGAATTGCTACTGTTTAAAAAAGAGCTATTATATGATATACATTATCCAACATGCTATGGACTTGATGCTACTAAATCACTTCTGTATGTTTAGCATTGCCCTATTAATTAAAAATGTGTGACATGCTGAAAAACCTTCTTTATAAGAAAAGACAGTTAGCCAGAATCTCCTTCCCTGTGACATTATTGTTGTAAGAAAAGCACATTTTACACTAGCCCAATAAAGCGGTTTAACATGCTAACAGAGATACTTCCTGGCTTTGGCTCTGCAATGCTAACTTTGACTGACTTAGAGAGACCCATCTTGAAGAAAGGGCAAGAATATTTGTTCTATCTCGATTTTTTTCAGCTTGCTAACAACTGATACTGACATGAGGTCTGATCAATAAATAACCAATACTGTAATAACAGGGACTGCAAGTTGCTTCAGGACAGCAGCGTTTAGAAAAGGAAAAAAAAAGGAAATGCAATATATGTGAATGAGAAATGCTGAGGATTTCATTAAAATGAATGTAACTGTTCCTTTTTTTTCAAGGTTTTCCAATAAAGTCCTGTATCCATTATATATATTTTTAGCACTGGTTTTGCAAAGTCACCAGATTTCATTCTTTGGAGCAATAATTGAATATGTACAAGGACTAATCAGGTGATTTAAATTTAACTAAGGCATTCGCATGTAGTTTAGCATAGTAAAAATAGTATGATTTGTGGGAGGCAATTAACAATCATTTGCTCTGTGGATACAAGTAATTTGTTTAAAGAGCACTGACCTATGAGACAGCTAGTTTGTGTTGGCTGTGATGGAAGGGAGCTATTGACTCTAAACAGTGTAACAGCGCCATTGACAGAATCACATTTGAATGCACACAAAAGATCTCGAAAATACTTGAGGAACATGAGATCTTTCACAGGGGGAAGTGGAGTGGGGGCTGAGCGAGGAACCCAGCCAAAGCAGAGGTCTCTGCACCGAGGCAGAGCCCAGCCAAAGCAGCAAATATGGGCAGTGTAGTGACTAAAGAGGGTTTCCCCCCTTTGGTGCTGTGCCAGCCTTAGAGCCTGGCCGTACTCCTCCTACACAAATACCCTATCAGAAGGAACACAAACTGGGAGCACTTACTGGTTGAGTAATGGTTTCATAAGCTTAAAATTGAATGCGAGTCTTTGTGCAAAATAATCATTTTTATGTTCACATCTAGCAAATGCATTGCAGACCTGGGAATGGTTCCATGTATTCAACATTCACGCTTTCTCGACGTCTGCTTTGGACATGTTTGCAATCGAATGCCAATACCTTGTACAGCAACGGGGTACAGACTCCTGCAAATGATCTGTTGTCTCCTGACAATTTGGGTCATTTCTTTCACTGAGCAAGGGAAGTTATCAAAACAAGGGTGTGCAGCAGAAACGGCGCAGTGCAAGCCGCCAGCATTTAAAAGTTCTGAGTGCCAACTGGCTTTCTTTGGAACTATTTTAATATACACAGGGTCTGACTATACTTCCTTTATTTGCTAGGGAATCATTATGCAAAATAGGCACTTGGAGAAAACAGTGAGGCAGTGGCACCAACACACTGTAAATACAGCACTGCGGCTCATCTTCAAGTAAACCAACAGAATCTAGAGCTTAAAATATGTGTGTAAAGGTGCAGTTTTATCTGTAACATAATTTCATTTAGAAGCATACAGATCACAATTTGCCATAATCAAATAACACCGCAGTGCTTATATTCTAATTAAAAAAATAATCTCTGATATTTAATTTAGAAACCTGGAAGACTTCAGCAGAAAAATTACAGCTACAACCTGCACAAACCACTCCATTTGCTCAGACATTGAATATTTTTCAGGTAGCTCTTTAAAAATGATTATTAAACAAGCAAACGATGCACTGGTCGATATACATTAAAACAAGTATTGTACCCAGTTATTAATTTGCACTATTCACTTTTAAATGCAGCAAATACCTCATTAATTTAATTTTAGGTGCCCACCAGTTTATATTGCATTTTACAGTCTGGAAGGCAATTTACTATTAACTGGCAATTACATACAGAATGATTGTTAATTCTGCTCCTAAGTGCTAGCTGCTTGAAAATTGTTATCTCTCTCTAATTTTTGACCTTCTTACAACAGGGGTGAGGTACACTGGGAATACAAAGGACTAGTAGAGAAGAGCTGGACATGTCATTTGTGACTCATTCTTTTAATTCACCGTGCTAATCAACTGAACTGCCACAATCTCCCAAGGTAATTGTATCTTTATAATAGTTGAAAGCAGCGGGCAAAAAGGCATGGATAGATGGGGAAAGGCCTTGGCTCTGCCTGCTGAGAGCCGGCGCACTCTTGCTTCTGTGTGAGACTAATAGGGGCTTTTGAGAAAAATCTGGAACTTTCGTATCTCTGCACCCTGATCATTTAATGTCTCAACTTCTCTGCTCACAAAGGCTTTGTACACCACACTACACTCTTGTTTCATTATTCGGCAGCCTTGTTGCCCTATGGTCTACCTCATGCTGGGAAGGTTAAATGTTAGAGTGCCAAGCCGGGCTGCAAGCATGGTGGGACACTGATGGGAAACAGATGCCCTGGGGATTCAGCCCCTCCCTCCTCTAGGACTACATCATTTTCATTTTCTGAAATACAGTCAGGCTTGGCTCCGCTCTCAATGGCAGCTGTAATTTCCAAAGACTATCTCAGTCCGCCTATCACTTCAGGATAAAGCAGAGCAGGCAGAAGTTTCTTGGTCAGGCAGACGCGGGCCTTATCTTTTTATTCTCTTATTGATGGGATATAGGTTTGTCTTTCCCTCAAAAGGCATTTTAAATATATATATCCCACGATAGTGTTGTTAGCAGCGTACTTTATTACCATTTTTTTCCAGCAGGAAAATCTCCTGACACTCTCAGTGTTCTCAATATCTTTGCTTAGCAATAAAGACAAAAGATGACCCCCCGGAAAGAAGAAACAAATGTCTTTTCCTTAATTTCATATATATTTGTATTTACACATGAGAAAGAAGTTCAAAACCAACAATATTTGCTGAATTTGCAAAAACCCCACCTAAGAAATCAGTTAAAGACATTACTATGGAGCAATTCAGAATTCCTCTGCACCGAGCCAGACCGGCATCTGGTTCAAATCTGCAGCGCTTCCCTGTGTGCAATGGAGCTGCACCAGCTCGCAACAGCTAAACTATCTGGAACTTAGTCTGAGGCTTTTAATTCATTCATCTTTTATTTTGCTGAACACTTATCCTAGCCAGTCGTACCTGTCAGGATACTGTAGCTTTGCATGGACTATGCCTATAACAGCATTTTTTAGCCTGTAACCATGACCACATGCAGCCCCATCTGCAGTCACCACCTTTGCAATATACAAAACAGTGTTGGCTTTCAATATATGTTGTTAGCACCAAAAGGGTCACTACCACCCTGTTTGGTACCTCTGATAAAAAAAACAATCAGAAAGATCAAGAAAATGTCAATATTGTCTCTCTTGTCAGCCAGAATTGAGGCATCCCAGTGTGAATGCAAGTGTTGGGTTTGCTCAAGGGATAGACGGAAGATAGCAATATCAGATGCTACCTTCACTCTGAAAGTTCATTTCACTGATAGATCTTAGGCAGTCAAAAACATATCCACAATGTGTTAACTGTTTGAAAAGTCCTAGCTTAAAACTACCCAGGAACACACTTTTCCCATTAGATCTGAATTAATAGCTAGATACAGTTGCAGTCTAGTGGGAAAATATTCATCAAAATGCACATCATCTGCAAATCATCTGCAATCTGCATTATCTACCCAATAAGCATCAAGAATTCTCCCTGAATCCCTACAGTCTGTCGAGTAAACAGTTAAAGGCTCTTTGTTTTCAAATGAGAGATTGATTCATCAGATCAAATTTATTACCTATAATCCTCATCAAAAAGAATGGTAAATTAAATTGCTGTTTCTCCCTTTTCTCTCCCAGCACCTCAGTCAAATTCATTGTTAAATGCCAGAAAAGATGTAATACACATTTTAGATAAAAAGCCAGCAATACCTCATCCCAAAGTAAGAATTTTCATATTAAAACCACTGGAAACCACAAAGTTCCGACTTTTTCTTGTGCTCTTGTAAATTAAAATCAAATGCATTTAACAGGATTGGCACAAATAAATCCTTCCCAGGCTTGTGAGTTTGTATCCCAAGTTTCAGGTCTGAAAGAATTTTTAGAGCCAGATTGTGAATAAGGTTGGATAAATTTATTTGGATCCAAAAACAGCTACTTGAACCGGTGCCTAAAACTCCAACTGAACCTTTAGGGAAGTTCAAGAAGTTTGGATAGATAGTCTGAGAAATATTTTTCATCACTGAATACTTCTGAACTCCTTTTTCTGGCGGGAGCAGAGTAGGAAATGCCATTGTTAATCTATTTCTGGCCAAAAATGAAAACAGGAAGTAACAGGCATCTTGTGAGAGAGCTTGGTCTCATGAGACATGGAGATATATAAGACCCAAGAGGCTTTGAGAAACACCAGAGCTTCTGGGTGCCCATACAAGCAGGTATTTTGAGATCCAGCTACCACCAGATACATTTCCTGCAAGACAGCCTATTTTTTAAGAGCATTGTAATGTTCCTGCTTTGCACTGCCTGTGTATCATTAAGACATGGGAGTTATTATCCCAAAAGCAGTAAGGAAACCATACACTTACCAGTGTAGACGAACCGGCCAGGAGCACCTTTGCAGAACTGTTTGGATTTGT